CCCCCCAAATAAAACAATGTATATTACTTTGTTATCTTAAGTAATGACAAAGCTATTGCAGAATAAACAGGCCTATACTGGAAATGTCTAGTCTATGGAGAACTAGTTCACACCACCCACAGTGCGTTCCAGCCCGATTGGTGCCGGAACACACTGGATCGCATTCCGGCCGACTTGCTTTGTTTATTTTTTTTTTGGGGGGGGGGGGGTGCTTTGTGGTGCATTGAAGTCAATGGCACCACAGCCGCTGACCGCAATGCGATTGCCCGGAACACGTGGCACACCAGTGCTTGCGTTCCGGTCCAGTGCAGTCAGAAAAAAATGCTGCATCCACGATTTTTTTCTGACTGTACCGGACTAGAACGCGGGCACAGATGTGCTGCGCGTTTCGGTGCAGGGATCGCATTGCGTCTGGAGGGTGTGCCTGAGGTCCGATTGACTTCAATGCACTGCCACGCCCCCTCCACAAAGCAAAGTGACCTGGCTGGAATGTGATCGAGTGCGTTGCGCACCAATTGGGCAGGAATGCACTGTGACTGGTGTGAACTAGCCCTAAGGGGTATGCAAGGACTAGATAACATATGGAAACCAATATTCAAATTCAGAAAAATTCAAATATATATATATTAAAAAAAACAAAAACCCATAAACACTTTAGTTTGCATAACTAGTGTACACAGGGAGGATGTAATGTAACGCCTCAGTGTACACAATGTGTCACAAGGAGGAGGCAAGCAAAGCCAATTTATAATCTAGTGCAGAGAAACTAACAAAAACAATGAAGTAAATAAGAAAAAATCATGAGTAATCTGTATTTCTACTCTTGAATGTTTAGAACAGTCCAATCTAACCTTTGAGGAATAATCACAAACACCCACTGGTGACTGGCTTTCTTAAAAAGGAACTAAGCAAAATCAGAATTGTCATATGTAGTCAGTCAATAGTTTTTGTTTTTCACCTGTAAAAGTTTTATTATCTGTTGATTCTGTCAGCAGATTTGTTATTTTTACACATCTTGTAACAGGCCAAGCTGTCCATCAGATGTGGCAGTTACAGAGCTGGGATAAAGCTTATTACACAGAAGGTGATTACAACAGTCAGCTTTAATTCACATGGACAAAACCTTTTCTCCAAATGAGAAAAAAATGCGGTTGTGGTAACAAATAAGTAATTAAACCCAAGCTTCAGCTAACACACCAAGTACTCATTTTAAATCTATTTAAAACTTCAGTTCCATCTCAGACCACTCCCTGTCCACAGGATGATAACATTGCTGTGTGATTTCACTTCAGAAGGAACAGTGTTTCCTCCCTATTACAAGATGAAAAACACCAGATCTACTACCGGTAATTCAACAGGTAAAACTGTTATTTGGGGCCTAAAAAAAAAAAAATGATGTAAGCGACAGGCTGGATCATATTTTGTAATTTTGCCCATAGTTAGTTATAGTTGAAATATTCTTTACATACCTTGGTAGAAGAATTCTTCAGTCACTTTCTCACTCCACTGCTTGCTCAGCTCCCAAGTCCGGCAAGGGTTACAGATGTCTGCACACTTCAAGGCCATCTATCAGTCAAACACAAAGCCGACAACATGTAATCATTACAAAGAGCGGATCAAATTATTAAAATCAAAACTATATTTTTTCAAAAGCGATGCAGTGTACAGAGTTCATTATCTGTCACTATAAATTATCGCAGGATACCAGGTGGTTTTGCATCAGTGTAGGTCTCCTGCACTTGGTGCGTATTTACCACTAACTTAAGTGTGATTGGGGTTTTTCACTTAAGCCTCATGCTGTCTTAAAGGAGAACTATGAGGTGAGTGCTTTTCACTCACCTCAGTTCTAGCCGACCTGTGACAATGAGACTGTCACAAGTCGGCTCAGTAGATGGGGAAGTGAGCGAACACATACCGGCGTTCGCTCACTTCTCGATCCTGTCACGGCAGAGGGGCTGGATTCCCCCCTCCCCGATCCTCCAGCGCTGACTGGCGGAACGGACAGGGGAGGGGGGAATAGATAGGCAGAGCCAGCTGTCACTCACACAGCTGGGCGGATCCAGACATAAGGCTGGGTTCACACCTGAGCGTTTTTTTTTATGCTCGTTTTTCTCGTTCAGTGAAACGCGCGTTTCACTGGCGGTATGATTTATTTTTTTTGTTATTTTCTTTCTCTTTTAGTTTCACTTTTAAACTTCCCGCCGGCTCTGCCACAAAGCGACGCGGCCGCTCGCAAGGGACGGTACCCGGAAGTCGGCAGCCGCCGAAGACACAGCGGGGATCGCGGACAAGGTTAGATCTGTATCCTGGGGTTACTGCTTTGTTAACCCTGATCCACACTCGGGAATACCAATGGCAACGCACGGCAAAACGCCCCAAAGAAGCTCCTGTACTTCTTTGGGCGTAGGGCGTTTTGCAGCGCGTTCCTACGTGCTGTAAAACGCCCAGGTGTGAACCAGGCCTTATTGTCGGGATCCGCTTCAGCGTCTCAGAATACCGCAAGCTCGCGGTATACTGAGCTTAGGGTGACGGGAGGACGCTAGTTTGTGTCCTCCCGTTACCCTGAGAACTATGGGGAAAAGCCTTAACCCCATAGTTCTCCTTTAATTTAAAATAATAGCTGCTGCGGTTTGACTGCAGTAGCAAAACAAAACTGTCTTCTGATGCTAGCTTTAAATACCGTTCATACTGACAATTTTACTGTAAACACTGTTCTAAAGCATCCATGGGAACTTGAAAATGCAACACAAATACGCAAAAAACATGCACATAGATGTGTCCTATCAAACACGAACGTAAATGGCACTTTATAGTGAACTTTAAAAGCAAAATCCACCATTTACAGAAAAAAAAAAAAAAAAACTAAAAACGCACACATATACAAAGAAAAAAAAAGTGTATTTATTGGGGGGTTTTTTTGCATTGGAACCACAAAAACATTGAAACTGCAATCAGTGGATTGGGGGTGCACTGCTTTGGCTCCTGCAGACTTTTCCTCCAGTCCTTGTCCAACTTTCAGTAACCGGAAAAAGGAAAAGCAACATTCAGTAAACTGAATAGAAGAATTATAAATGGACTACAAGTGCAGTGATAATCATCACACTTGTACTCCATTGAGAACTACGAATCCCTACGAAATGGGATTTGTAGTCTCTCATTTCACAGATCCTGTCAAAAGATGAAGATGTGACTAGGTTTCATGGTACACCCTAAATATGGCTGTAAAATTGAACATAGTAAAACCAACAATAAGCAATATTTGCTTTACAACGCTGAATACCTGCAGGATGAAAAGCCGATGACCAGCATCGTCCAGGCATAAGTCACCTTTATCTAGATGGGTTCGGAACTGTGAAAGGTATTCATTTTGCCGACTAATGTCTGTAGCAAGAATGATGGAGCCCAACTGGCTTTCCATTTGTAGTCTGAAAAACAAAAAAACTTGTGTAATAATCTGCAGCCTTTTGTACAGATTATATAAACATAGTCATAAAACATTCATCAAAAGCATGAAACACACACTGGGCTCACATAACCAAAGGAAACAGAGTGTTGATGTCTATGACAAATTGTATTCTGCTTTGTGTTCAAACCGGGAATACAAAAAAAACAAAAAACATTATTTCCTTTTCTCCGGTTTTAGAAATCCAAATGAAAAAAACTTTTAAAAGTAAAATTCTATCTACAAGCAGATGCAACAAGATGCCTACTATGGCTTGTTTTTCTTCAGTTGGTTATTGGGACCCAACGTTCCTGGACTTTATGGCTGAGCCCAGGCGGCTGTCATTCAACAGAGACTGTGCCAGGGACCAGTAAGGATATTGTCCATAGCAGAATTTTTCTTCCAGCACTGCTTCTGGGTATAACTGGCATTTCAGCACAATCATCCATATAAAACTCCAGTATTATTCCTGGATGGCCAGTCAGGAAAAAGCACCAAAAAGAATGCGCTACTAAAGCTCGGGGGGCCTATAAGGATTTTTGGAGTAGTCGGATTGCTTTCCTTCAATTTATCTCATATGGCATATTTACTATTAACAAGTTTCACCTGTTAAAAGTCTGTTTTTTCACAAACTTAAGAGATAATTCGGGTAAAGATGACTAGGGCTGAAACAACTAATCAATACAAAATCGATTATAATCGATAATGAGAATCGTTGTCAACGATTCTTATTATCAAGTAGTTGATTTTCCGCCACTGCCAATCTGCCCCTCCATTCTCCTCCCCGCTGGTGAAGACTGCAGTGGTCTGTGTCTCTTTCAATCCCCGCCTGTAATCGGCAGATGTAGCAGGGATACAGACCACTGCAGCCAGCGGGGAGGAGAGACTGCGGTGATTCTGCATCCCCCCGCTGCCCGCACCCTTCCTCTGCTGCTGGCCTGTTTCCTTCTCTGCTCCCCAGTTCTTCTGTCGGTTCCAGCTGCTGGTGCCAGTTCTCTTCTGCCGGTGTTCTATCAATCCCTCGGACTCCAGTGCAAGGGATTGATGGGAGACTTGAAGCCAGTGTCCTATCAGCGGCTGGAAACAATATCCAGCCTGCTATTGGATATTTTAAATTCTTCTCCTTCAGGTCCCCCTCTGCTGATTGACAGCAGGCAGTGGGTGGGTGCAATAGCCAGCCTGCTATTGGTTATCGTATTTTAAAATAGCCAATAGGAGGCTGTCTATTGCTCTCAGCTACTGCAGCTTCCAGTGAAGTGGAAAGGTGACAATAGACCCCCTAATGTCACCTTAAAGAGAACCTGTCATCTCAAATGTGCTACCACACAGGAGGCTAGGTGAGTTGCCCCATGTGATAGCAATGATGTTAAAAAAAAGAAATGTAAAAAAAAAAAAAGAAAAGTGTTAAATAAAATTAAAAATACTAACGGAAACACAGGTCAGGTGCACCTACGTATGAAAATGATGATTGCGCTACATGTCAGGTATCGCCGCATGCGCCAGAGTGAGCAATAATTTTCCGCCCAATATTTAAGACATGATGACCAGGCATTTATTTTAAATAAAAGTTTGGTTATTATATTGGAGTTTTACAATTCATATTTTAAATCCATGAAACAAATTTAAATGTCTAAAATAATACAATTATTAAAAAAAATATATAAACAAAAAAAAAATGGGAAAAGTAATATTTGGTTTCGGCCTGACAAATTCTGCTGCAGGATGTGTGTTGTGGTGCCATTCATTTCAATGGCACCCAAAACGCGTCTCCCACCCGCAGGGTGATCACACTGGAACGCACGGTACTGCAATTCCAAGCGCTCCAGTGCCGTGCAATTGCAAAAAATGTCCATACAGTTTTATTCTGAAGTAAACTTTGAAATACTCCATTTGTGTATTTTATTTTAAATAGTATAGCAATGTTTTTTACTTTAACCGATTAATCGGAAAAAAAATAGGCCGACTAATCGATTATGAAAATAATAATTAGTTGCAGCCCTAAAGGACATTGAAAAGTTAAATGGACTCAGCTAATTGTGCAGGAAAAAAAAAAGTACAACTTTTCAGCAATGATCATCAGATATTAGACGTTGATATATGCAGCTTGTGATGGTAATATTCTTGACCCGTTAAATATTGCTCTGAAAATAACACAATAGTGTGAGAGACATAAGCATTCCACATTAACCAACTAAAATGAATACTTGTAACATACCTTTCGTCCAAATGTATGTGTGCAAACAAACCAGATTCTCGCAACAAGCCCACTGCTGACCTCCAGTGGTGATTTTCTAATACTGAGGTATTCTGAAAAGAAACCAAGCAAACATTTTATAAAACTAGGAGTCAATGACTCACTCCATATTACTAAATCACAGCCATGATTTCATACACCACATCCCAAAATAAACTAGAATTAGCGGTCTTTGCACTCCTGGCTGTACAAGGATTGGGAGTTAGCAGTGCCGAATCTGTGCCTGTACCTACCACTGACAACTGTGACTTACTGAGGAGCAATAATGGATGCATGTAACCTTTTTTGGTTTCTGGATGGATTATGCACCATAAATCAGCAAGTGCTGTGTTCACAGAGAGGGCTGTTTTTTTAAAAGTAATCTTTAAAGCCTTCATTGGCCTAAAATGGCAGCTAGCTGCCCTGTAAACATAATAGAATATTACATTCCCAATTAAATGTGCAAATATGGAATGCTCCACACCACTGTGATCAAACTAAATTTGTTCTGATTTACTGATCCTTCAAATGAACAGCAAACCTTCAATACACTGGAACAATGCTGCTGAAGCAGAACAGAGAAATGACTGTGAAACACTGGAAGCATCTTGAGAATTCACTGGACCTCAAAAAGGCAATCTTACTCCCAATTGATATTAAGCAGGTAAAAGTTACACAAAACAAGCCAATCCCACATGTAACACAGCAAGCAAATCTCAGGCAGGGATGAACTTCTTCACAATGAGTGCTGGCACGGTGATCTTCTATAAATCATCCTTATTTGTATTGAATTCAATTGAAATAGTTGAATCTCATTGTAAAGATTGTGGAATAAACAGCTGCAATACATTTTCCTTCTACTTGCCAGGACACAGGTTGGTGACCCCCAGCCCCATTTATCTTTACTAAGCTATGCAGATAGGTCACCTCCCCGTCACCAGCCTGTGTTCAGACAATGACGTAGAAGCAGCAGCAGCTAGTCTATATTCTACTGTGCAGGGAATTACAGGAGGATGATATAAAAACCGATTCAACAACCTAAATTAGAGGCATTTAAAAATAAATGTGATGCATTTAAGTGAATAAATAACTGCATACCATGTTTTTCTTTTTTACCTGCCGGGGGCTCATCTTTAACATGGTAATCATCGGCACACGTACCTTATATAAAGTTGCTAAGTAGTGGTTTGTTTTTATTAAAAAAAACTGATTTACACCAGGATGATCCAGATCGTGTGTTGCAGCTGCAATTAAACCCAGCAGGATATCCCATGGAGTGAGAGACTTGGCAAGCTAGAAGAGACAGGGGTACCGCAAAATTAACAAAAGTAGTAAAATAACAGTTTCTGGGATGAAAAAGCTGGAGACTGCTGTATTTTTTCCATCTTCACCTCAAGAACACAGACTCTTACCTTGGGTTCTTTTAAATAACAGTACATGGCCTGAGTCACATCAGCAGCATGCACTGCGTTGTGGTATGGGTTCTGATTGTGGTAGTCTTCTTGAACCATAACTGCAAATAAAAAAAAAAACGGTTATAGTAAACGACCAAGCATCTTCCTTATCAAAAGGTTCTGTTTAAGCACACAGAATGTAAAACGAGCAATAGTTCAGATATATAAAAGGGCTTGTAACTATTAGATCACTATAAAGCAATGTAGCAGCACACCTACCTCTTTGTGTCAATAACCTTTTCTTTGAAGAAAGAAGAAAGAAGAACTCACCTTCACCTAGAGGCTGACCATGCTAAAGTGCAGGACCACCCTATAAACCCAACATGGTCACACTAGCATGTGTGCTCATGGCTGGAGCTACATGACACACGCTTTTTTGATAGAAGTTCCTTCCTCCAGTAGAAACTCTAGCAGAACACGGCCTGCATGTCGAACATAAGGGATTAATGCTAAGGGGTCACATGACAATGTGCTGATCTGCACAGTTCTGTGTCCCAAACGGAAGTATAGGTCCAATAAGTGTGCGTGCTGAGATGTACAAAAGTAAAAAAGGATTTTTGTACTAATATCGTAAAATCCTTAAAAAAAACCCACAACATACACCAGCAGAGGATAGCCCCACCCACAACCATCATGTCTCAGTTGTGTACCAAAGTAGCCCCTATAGTATGGAATTTAACAGAGGGGAGGAACCTGTGCCCCTCAATGGACTCCAAGTGACTACAAAAACAGAGGGTTGGGCAACAAAAGTAACAAAAAGGCTAAAACAGAAAAAACAGGAAACTGCCACCAGCTCAAAGCCACCTGAAGGATAAAAACACCTAACAGGAAAGGGTGGAAACCGATCCTTGAGACCAAAAGTCTGAATGACTGTCTGTCTGAGCCACCTAGAGACAGTGAAATGAGAAGTCAATGTACTATTATTATGAGGCCCATTCAGGATAGCAGAAAGGCAAACTGGTTTCCTGAAGAGGAAGTGGCTGAGAGAAAGACTCTCACATCACGCAATGGAGGGAAATTTTCTTTTGGCTAACTGAACCCAGTCAGAGGGAGGAGAGAACTATGATCTGATTCAGGTGAACAGTAGAATATTAGACAAGAAGAAATTCCTAGAACCTAGAATTCCTAGTAAAGCTGAATGCTGCAATAGAGAGAAAACCATCTTCCAGGACAGCACATGAGAAAGAGGACCCTCCCACCAGTACAGGAAACACATGGTCAGGAAAAAGTTTATTTTTTTTAAAGTACAGTAATAGTTAGAACCGAAGAGGGGAAACCCAGTTTAAAAAAAACAAACACAAAAAAAAAAACCCACACACAACATATAATACATGGTACAGCAGGAAAGCCTAGTGCCCTATAAGACTATTGGAAACAGTTACCCCGTAAGTTTAACTCTGGTTTTCCCCAGTTTGTCTTCCAGGACAGCATATAAGAGGACAAAGCACTTACCAGACTGGAAGGGAGAACAATTCGCTAGGGGGCGCGCGCGAGCAGAAAAAAATTGCCGTCTGGAGATGCAGCAGTGCCGTCCGTCCGTTTTTCTACTACGGGCGGACGGCAAGAGGTTAAAGACCTTACTCCCAAAGGCATGATCCTCACTTGAGAAAAGCCCAGCTGGTAGTGATGAACAAAGGTGGAGAAGCTTGACTACATGGAGGCCGTGCAAAATTTGCTCTGATAGTGCCAGCTCTCTCCAACGAAGAAGCCAAAGCCCTAGTTGAATGAGTATTGATGAAATCTGTAGGATTCACCTGCATTATTTTGTATGTCAAACTAATCTAGTGGACCATGGAGGCTTTCTTCCCTTGGTCCTTGGGCCTCCAGTTCACGGACTATACTAGGCATAGTGATTGCTACCAAAAGGGAAGTTTTCACAGTTAGTGCTTTAATAGGAGCATTCAATATTGGTTTGATGGATGGCAGTAGAATCGTGCCATACAATAGAAATATCCCACCTGGGACAATTTTGAATTGGAATTGATCTAGACCAAGAAATATTACATTATCAGGTTGAAAAAAGACACAAGTCGAGTTCAACCTAAAATAGACCAAGAAATAGACTTAAGAAATCTCAGCACCAGAGAATCAGAGGACAGAAATGTATCCAAAACATGCTAAGAGCAGCCACTTGAACCGTAAGTGTGCTGGGACTAAGCCCATATCCACACCATCTTGAAGGAAATCTAGAAAAGCGGAAATTATCGGAAATATGCCTATTGTTCAGGGTCAGCCACGAATTGAACATATCTGTCATATTTTAGTGTTAAATAGAGATAAACTGCTCTAGCAATCAAATAACACTCCAAGAGCACCTGTGCTTGATAGGCGAGTACACCCAAATAGGAAAGGATAAAAATAGCACTGCGCTTCAACAAACTCAAATTATATTCCTAAAATGCGAGAAAAAAAATATGTTCTAAATTCTGAAATTATCATAGTGATGAAACAATTATGTCTTATCCACAACACCTGTGTCGCACAATGCCTGTGCTAATGATACTTCAGAAAAAACTATTGGTCTAATGGTCTAGACCAGGGGTCTCAAAGTACCGGCCCGCAAGCCGGTATTATGTGGCCCGCAGCCAGCTGACAAGTCGGGCACACGGTCACGGACCGCGTGCCCGACTTGCGGGAGCAGCTACACGGTCTGTATCTCTGTCGGATGCAGATCGCAGAGTTGCTCCTGTCAGCTCTGGCCGGAGCTCTGTCAGTTCTGAGCTCCAGTCCAATGATGGATGATTAGTAGTGTTCTGGGGGCTTGGGAGGGAGGAAGTTTATTATATGTGCTGGGGGGACTGTGTATTAACCCTTTCGCTGCCAAGCCCTCCGGAACATTTTTTAAATCAGCTGGCCAAGCCATTTTTGAATTTTCTGCAATTTTTTCCTATTGATTTGATTTCATAAGGAATCCCTCAGCTCTGTACTGATAAAGCCATAAGGAATCCCCAGAGATACTGGACTGACCAGAATATGGATTTATGATTGAACTGGAACAGAAACCGTAGTCACTGCCGAATACAGGCCTGGCACAGAGGGACGGCCATTATAGAGCATGTACTATAAACCTGCGCTTCTTGGCTAACAGGAGTTGTCCAACATTTCCATATACAGCCTGAATACACCAGTAGCGATAGATGCTGGAAAAACTGCAACACATTCGTAGCTGTCTTTAGGGAGAGCACCAGTAAAAACTGGATAAACTCTCAGGATTTTTTGCTCATCTGGCATGAATCTACCCATACTTAAATGGCTGACAGGACAGACTTCCAGGATTTACTTTATCCGGCATCAATCTACCAGAAGCTGTTGACAGTAGAAACAGTAGAAACATCTTTCAAATAAGCAGAGAATAGTAGAGCTTAACATGTTAACTCTCCTGAGGACACTAGGAGAGTCATGATGGTTGTGGAAGGGGATGCGGGTGGGGAGGGGGTTTATTCTGTTGCCAGTGTCCATTTCTCCTCGGTTCCTCGTTCTTCTTGCTTTTGGTGCTATTGTTACCGCATTATACCCTATACTAAGCCCTTAGTTCACAATGCTTCTTTACATCAAGCAGCATATGCAGTCTAGATTAAAACCCGCCCACCTTGACATTAGGCACCATCTTGCAATCGCAGAATCACTTGGTGACGAGGGAGCATGGAGCCGGCTTCCTTGCCAATCAGGAAGCCTGGCCCTGTGTAATGATTCGTTGCCCGGCTTCCTGATTGGTCTAGAAGCTGGCTAATCAGGAAGGCGGGCAACGAGTCAATACACGGCACCCGGCTTCCTGATTTGCCAGAAAGCTGGCGCCATGCTTCGTCACCTGGTGACGAGGGAGCATGGAGACGGCTTCCCTGCTAATAGGGAAGCTGGGTGGCGAGTCTTTACATGACGCCCGGCTTCCCAACTAATCAGGAAGCCAGGTGGCGAATCATTACACGCTGCCTGGCTTCCTTAATGGTACTTGCTGTATCGGTTGTCGGTCTTGGCGACTACTGGAAAAAATAAAAATAAAAAATCGGTACTGGTACTCGATACCGAAAAAACGGTATTGGTGCATCCCTAATTAATACGAATAATAATACTAACAATATAAAAAAAATCTGTTAAAAGCTTATAGCACAACAACAACAAAAATATATATCTAAAGTTCTCTGACCTAAAACTATTATACAATCATTTTCCTTTAAAAAGCTTTACAAGACATACATTTCAGCTCATGTGCGTGGATTCAAGCGACAATTTCTAATAATTTTGATCTGAAAAAAGGGTTTCCCGATTTATTAATGAAAATCTCCTTTAGTCCTTTCGCCGCCAAGCCCTCCGGAACACTTAACCTCAGCTGGCCACGCCATTTTTCCCATTGTTTTGATTTTCTACTGCTGCGTTGCTAGCGTTTGTAAAAAAGATCACCCAAACCATATATTTTCTGAAAGCACAGGCCCGGTAGAATAAAAAGATGGTGCTGCTAATTTTGTAGGTCCTGCGATAATTGCGCAAATGTTTAACAAAATAATAATAAAACAATACAAATTACACAATTAGATTGATAAAAAGCACACTAAAATCAGTAACAGTGCACAAAAAAAAAAAAAAACTTTCCCAACAATCTAGAAGATAAAAACTGTATAACTTAATAACAAATATATGTAAATTTTAAATTGTGCCTTTTTGCGAAACGGTAAAAAAAAATGAAGCAATGCAAAACTGTAAATAAGCAACTTATGTTAAAAATTGTTTGTGCGTGGAGTTTGTGTGTGTTGTGTTAACATTATACAGGCGTACATTTAATCGCAACACAGCATATCACAACGCACGGCGCAGGCGCTGCCACACAGTTAAATCAATGTTATTAAAAAAAATAACATGGG